CTCTTCCTTCAGACTAAAATGCAATTAAAAAGCAAACATGAAGGAGCTCAAGAGCTATCAGCATGTAAAGTTATATCAAACCCTCTGACGCGCTGCTGCTGTAATGCCATGAATTGCAACTGCAGAAGATTGCCATGTACATTTTTGTGGATGGTTATTACTGCAAAATGCAGTATCGGTACAGGGTCTCTGAAGCAACGGTGCTCTTGGCTATTGGATTGATTTGATGAAGTTACATGCAGTGGAGACAGTGGAGGTGGCTCTGACAATGATGCACAGTCAGGCCTGTTTATTCAAAATTATTTATTATTTATTTATCCTATATTGATAACAATTAATCAAGTCAGGCCTGCAGCTGTGCAACGTTTCATGTCCTTCACCTTTGTCCCTTCACGTTTCCTGTCGCTTCAGCCGTGCAACGATGACATGTCTGGCGTCTGCTACAAAAAATTACTAGCGGCGCGCTGTGACAAGTCACTAGACACTCGGCCTCGTCGTTTGAGCGGCCAGAAGTTAGCTGTTGGCTGTCCAAAACTTTTTGCAGACCATCCCTGCCTAGCAGACTACGTAAATTAAGTTTGTAGCGCAATAGGGGCATGCGCGAGATTTGATGCGCCTGGTGAATAAATTGTTACGGCCCGGCCGCGAGTTCTGCTATAGCTCGCGCTGCTAAGCAGAGTCGGCGGTACACGGAACGGAGTTGGGCGTGTCCGCGGAGCGTCGATAAGGCAGGGAGTCGGCGAGTTCGATTCCCGATGAACGCGATGAATCGCGAAGGAGGTGCACGTACCGATCTTCGTATCAGGTCGAAGGAGGAGCCACGATGAACAGCAACTTGGTTGTTGGTGAGGTCCGACGTTGCCTCAACTCTTACAAGGAGGGCTTACGTCGGGAGAGGTCACGTCGACGGAGTACCGCAGCCTTGCGGATACTCGTCGCTGCACGTGCTCTGCTCATTCAAGACGCAAGCGGAGCTTGCAAGGCGGGTCGTTGACTCGTAAGTCGCGAGACTCGGAAGCGCGACTCTTTACTCTAAGCGGTCTCGCTCGCGACAGGGGTCAAAAGGACATCCGCCCAAGTTGACACCTGAACGCGAGGTCGACTGAGGAGAGGGCAGAGGGGTTACCGGCACTTGTACGCCGGAGGTTGGCACCGGGATATTCTCCCGAGTGCGGCACGACGGCGACGAGCGACTGTGGTATCCTCGTTCGAAAAGCTGCACGGTTTGGCAGCGTAGATGGCTATGTTCGATTAGCGCGAAAGTGATTAAGTCCAATTAATTAAAATGCAACTATGTTCCGCTATCGCGTCCGTGACTATGTTCGAATAACGCGCCAGCGGCTAAATGTCGTTAATGCGACAGCGACTAAGTACAAATAATGCACCAGCGACTAAGTGTCGTTAATGCGTCAGCGACTAAGTGTCATTAATGCGCCAACGACTAAGTATCATTAATGCGTCTGCGGCTAAGTTCGAATTTCGACTCTCTGCTAACAGAATAACGCCAGGATATCCTCCGTACGCTAGACTAAGTCCAAGAGTCAAAAATTGCACACAAAGCTGAGAGCGAATGTTGCTAGGCAGAGACTGCGAAGCGTAATGCAACGTGGCTCCGAAAATTCGCTCCTTTTATACCGGAGTCCTGGCTGAGCTGGAGGGTAGGTAGAGGAGGGAGCGGAGCCGGCGGCTGATCAGACCGCTGGCCGCTGCGTTGCTCCGGAGTAGGAGGGGGAAAGCACGTCGCAGTTGCGACTGTTATACGCACGACTGACTCGCTCGTCGATCTGTCGGCTCGCCTAAACGAAGGCAACTTGTCCAACAAGCACTCGTCGAAAAATCCCGCGACCTCTCGGCATATAAGCCCAACAGAAATACCGGTCGAACTCGACCTGCACGAACTCGCCCACACTCGGACGCGTGCCTTCGTCGAACTCCGACTTTACGGCCAACAAGCCTATCTATAGTGCAGGCGCACTTACTCGTCGGTAACAGAGACCCTCGCAATAGTGCCTTGCGAGACCGACAGGCGTCGCTGCCAGTGAAGGTGGGATTGCGACTAGCGCAGATGCCGAGCTCATCACAAATTGGTGGGTTAGAATCGAGGTCCGAATAAGTCGATAAGGTAGAGAGAGAGGTAGAAAAAAAAATTGGAGTTGGCGTAACTGCTTTGACAGATGGAAAGTATTATCTGTTCATCTCGTTGCTCGCAAAGAGCTATTCAAATGTGCCTGTGATATAATTTTTTACTAATGCTGCATATTATTAGACATATTGCATAGTTTGCCAACCAAGCTAAAAAAGATATTCTTTTGCATGATGAGATAGAAGAAATAGCGTAAAATATCATTCTGATTAAGTGAAAATGTGATGAACATATTAGATAGTGCATCTGAAGTGTCAAAATAAAGCACTGACTTTGCTAATATGATTTTTTAGCATATGTATCATCTTACTCAGATACTCTAGTACTTATGTGTATAACCACTGAATGAATGGATGAACCAATGAAAAATTATGCCTTTACACCAAATCTTGATAAGTTACAAAACTATTTTGAACATTGGTTTGCCTATTAATTGGAAGGAAGTAGTCCAGCACAGGGTCCGACGGTACTCCTTCCTTTTATATGATATCCTGAAAGTCCTTCCACCCGAGAGAGAGATCATAAATAAGCGAGCCTAATGGTATTGCGGATCGGCGCCAATTTATAGATAAGCGCCGAATTTGCAGAGAGAGAGAGCCGTGATCAATGCTAAGAGCGTAGAAGGGTCTTGCGCGTACTGCCTTATGAGCAGACGAAAGCCTGTCAAGTGGAAAGGGAAGCCTATGATGACTGACGAGCCGACGAGGAGTTGATGAAGCAAACACTCTGTGTTGGACCTCGCGTGAAATAGCTTCGAGCTACCGACCCCTCTCGTGTGGGACCTGCGATGGCCAGCGTGTTTGAGAGTGAGTCTGCCATCCTGGAGATTATCAATATCTGGCTGCCTTCTCGTCTGCCCTCGCTATTTTTGCAGTCTTCGTCAGGCCCCCCTTATAAAAATTTCCAATAGGATCCCGCGAAATTCCTATTGGAATCCTATAGGACTCCTGTAGGAATTTCGCGAGATCCTAAAGGAAATTTTTATAAGGGCCAATCAACCACCAATAAACCATGGAGTCAACGAATGTAAGTCTCTCGATTCTCTCCTGCATATGCGCCATATTATAGTATTCTCAACACGCTCGATCTCTCTCGGTCTCGTCCCCGCCTAGCCCAAACTCACGACCGTCGTATCTGCCGAAATACCCGTGGTGGCCTTTTGCCGTTGTTATAATTGTACGGGTGAATGTTTCGTGCCGAGCGAACAATTATCGCACATTTATAATTCTTACCTTTCTTGTATTCTATATTCTTAGGCGTCACTATCGTGACTGGCGCTCTTTTTAATAAATAAGCCTAATTATTGATTATACATTACATGATCGCGTGGATTATTTTTGGCACACCTTTTCTTCGTCCCCCGTTACAGGACAACGGACATCTCGCCGGACAAGTTACTTGCCTCCCGAGGGTAAACTGTTACATAATATATGTATTTTTATTATTCCCTCCTGAGTTGTATAAAACTATATAGATGTGAGGTTTTTATTGAAAAATAACGCACAATGTTAAACTGCAAATAATATTTTATTAAATTACATTGTATTAAAGTATTTGTTTTGATATAATAATAGTTGTGATAATTTTTTGGAACTTTATTTATTTCAGCATCAAAATCTTACCAAATTTATTTCATTTTTATATAAGTTTAATTCAATAGTAATAATTAAAACAGCTTCATTCTGCTACTCGTTTTTAATTGCCCCAATCAAAATACCATTTTCAACAGTGAATAGTTTATTTATTCACAAGAACATGTGTATTATATGGGTAATAAGAGTATGAACCTCTCCATTATTTCCTTTCCTTTATAAAATAAATGTAATGTGAGGCAATGCAATGATTACATGAATACGTCTGTCCAAAAACAATTTAACAATAGCCATGATCAAGTACTCGCAACTTACATTTTCCTGTTGTGAGTCGAACGGAGTCTCTTCTTTTGTTTATTAGCTTTTCAGTTATTACTTTTTGTTGATGATTGGATGACACTGATTTGCCATTGTTAGTTGGTGTTAGTTTCTTTTCATTTGTACTGTTGGCGGGCTTAGGCTGTATAAGAGGGTAATTGGAAATTATAATACCAGACTTAATTTTAATTCCTTTTGAAATTTTTCTATCTACAGTCTTTGTTTTATAGTTATTAGACTTCTTGTTTTTTAGATTAGCTTTATGCTTGAGTAGGGATTTCTTATACTTCTTAGTTTGTTTATCGATAAAATCTTTTTCCTTTGCCTTCTTTTTATTGAATAACAAAAAATCTGATAAATCAGCTACTGGTTAGGCAGTTTGTTCATTTTTTTTAGAACCCTTAACAGTAAGGTTGTTGATAATATTAGTGGGATTTATAACCAAATTTTGTCCTTGAGTTGATTCTGGTAATTTTATAGGTATTAAGCCAGGTGCAACACTTTTATTTTGATTGTTGACAATTCTCAACAAAATAATCCTGCACGATGGACCAACACAGACTGGTTTTGGTAAATTATTTATCAACTGAGACATGGCATTTTTGTTTTGATTAATATTTGGTGACATTTGTAAAGCATCTGAAAATAATTATGGATCAGATTATATGAACTGATATTTTATATTGCATATTAATTTACCTTTTGAATCAAGACGTGTACTATTTGTGTTGGTGCTAGATTTTAAATCTGTATCAATTGCAGTACCATTTAAATGGCCATTGAAACTTGGAGTTACATTAATAGCAATGTTGTTTTCATTACTGATGGCACTGTCATTTATTTGGCTTTCATTGACATTGTAGTTTATGGTATTTGTTACATGGCCATTTTGTAAATTGTCTAAATCATTTATCACAGCTTCTTTGTCGACAGGTGTTAAGAAATCATCTGCAATGTATTTAAATAAAACTTAATATCAATAAGTTTTTATCAATGTAAAATATTATTAACAACTATACATTTAGGCAATTGTTGCTTGTCTGTATTAAAAAAATCAAAATCAAAATCAATCCCATCAAAGTCCCTATAATCATTCTGACACCTCTGTACCTCCTCCTGAGTCAATTCCAGCCTGTCATCAAAAATAGAATCTCCGTATATATTGTTATCGTTCAGTTTATCCTCAATCAGCTGCGGTGCACAGTTTTGCTCATCAAAATCATTCGTCATGTTACTCTGTGATGAGAATCTGGATAAGATCTCGTCTCTCTCTCTCCCTCACAAAGCCATAATATAACTTGTACTCATACATGAGCTTATTGTTTCAGGTGCAGAATCGCGACCACGGCAAACCACAAGGAAAGAGAGAGAGATTTTAGAGTCACGCGCGCGTCGGAGACTGCGTGAAACGCGAGCGCGTCGGGAGAAAGACAAAGGAAGCAGCGAGCTACGCAATCGGCAATCAGTACAGTTTGGGCCAACTTGTAAGCAAGTCGCGCTTGCACGTAAAGAATAAAAATTTGATTTAACGAACGGTAGCCCGCTGTAGTCGCGTCGTGTCGTATCGCGCCGCGTAGATCGAACGAGTGCATTGTGAGCAAGTGTGTGTGTGTGCGCCCTGCAATCCAGCGTCGTGGATGGGCCGCGGAATCGCAACCGGAGCAACTGCATGTAAGTGCCAGTTTCACATCGACATCTCTCTCTCTCTTTGCATTGCGACTCGCGTTCGCTGGTGTAAGCGAACACTCGCGCGTGCCGTGGTACTGCACCTCGTTGCCGTCCTGAGCGTGGCTGTACTCCACCCCAATTATTAATAATAACTTATCACATTTATTTAATTTAATTCACCTGTCTTACTTTGTTTGCCTTTCCCCTCTTGCCTCTGTTTTTCTAGGTAACACGGACCCGGTCGCTAGCGCGACCAACGCAATCCTATATATTACTCGTTGAAATTTCAACGGAACGTTTTTGCTTCCCCAATATTTCCGAAATCGATTTCTAAAAAAAAAAAAAAACATATATATTATATATATGTATAAGACAAAGGTTTATGGTGATAAATTGAACCAATGATGTTGCACTAAAAAACAGTGTTTTATTTATTATTATAAAATATTATCATATTATTATACAACTATTTACAATTTATACAAGCTCACCTAAAAAACAGTGAAACGACAATTTAAGTTCAATTCTATCTCCTCTCAATTTCTCAAATATTATTCTCTCCAATACTGTTTCTTCAACTGTTATTATAACTCTGATACCTATTTACAATTAAGCATTAACAACAGCCGACACTCGAGCACGCGACATGCGCAGAACGTGCGAGACTTATTTAAGAAATTATAATTTCTTTACATATGTATATATATATATATATATATATATGTATACATATTTATATATATGTGTATGTGTGTGTAGTGCTAGATACCAGGACATTTCAAATGTATAACGTGTAGTTTGAGGACATCGGCCTCATTCCAGGACAGTCCTGGAAAATGATTATATACAATGATATTTTCCAGCCCGGCTGGAATATTCCGAACACAAAAAAATTTCTACATAAAGTCTGGAAAGAACCAGCCATTTATACATAGTTATACATCCATTTCTTGTTTTTGAGGACATATACGTATTGTTTCTGGAACATTCCAGCCATATGTATAAGAATGTATACTTTTTATACTTTTTCGGCTGAATATTTCCAACCAAACGTAGACAAATACAGATAAATTCTTTAATGGGATTTAATCAAAAGATTGTTTTCAATCCTCAAATTCACCCAAAGAAGACCTTTAACCAAAAATAAGATAGTTTTCGAACGTAGTCTTAAAGATCAGTTAGGACATAAACTACCCACAGTCTGACGAATACAATTTGCTTAATCATATCATGATGAAGTTTGCAAATTTTTATACAAACATTTCCGGGATGTTACTCGTTCTTAACAAATTGTAACACTTATAACAGCGCCGAGAAACTTACGAATATATTGGACGTTTCATGTCTTGAATCAAAAAAAGTTATGACATGAAATTCTCAAAGCTTTTTCATTTGGCAGTGCATTATAAGGAAGGATCGCTTTAACGGAACAACCTTTGTATTCTTCAATTCACTGCTTGGAAGGTTCTAACTTGGACATGAATGAGTATTTCACCGGAACAAATACGAATATAATGAAAGTTTTCCCTTAAACGGCCTTAACATAATCAATATTGCAATTTTGCGTCGCACGACATTTAGGAGACAGTCCGTTCTAAATGACAGTCTGTTCTAAATGAATTGATTTGCTTTTGCTTATATCGAGCATAATAATACTTCAAATAGGACCTACCCTTGAGTGGCCCGGAAAAGCAAAATTTACTATAAGAATCAGCACCAGAACAAATGAGCTCCTAGGTATTCGTGGTTTTACTTTTTTAGCGACCATTCTTGCAATGATTATTTATATTACATTTAAAGATGAATTTAAAAAAAATTCTCGTAGACTTATTAATATGATTTTGAACAATTATTATTCTTGGTATCCCCATTTCGAAAAAATTTAATACTCATGTCGATATTTTCACAACTTTGTCTGATGTCTAATTTTACTATACACCATTTATTTTTGAAAAAAAACGAATATTTGTCATTAGTAATTTCCTATTAGGGCTACATTTCAATGACTAATAGTTGGGTCGAAACAGTATGATTAGGTATACCCCAACAACATAACATGGGTGACAAGATGTTTTTGATAGTCTGCTGCTGCTCATTAAAAAGAGTAACAATAATTATTTTTGTAATGAAATGCGATACCAAATTGCTTGCGTTGTTAATTTAGGCAGGACTAAACGATTCGTACGAAATTTATGAGATGTCCCGTAAAGTTTATTTTATAATAACAAACAATATTGTTATTAGTAGTATCGAGTGAATCGTAATGATTTCCATAATTTAATGAGATAGCAATTTGCTCGTGTAGATATGATCAACCTAACTATTACGATTCGTTCTAAATATAAGAGATGTCTCAGAAATGTTTTTAAACCATATTAAATACGATATAGTTACTAATGAAAAAAATTAAGTGAATCGTTTGCAATCAATTGATATGTCTATCGAAACACAAGATTTAGCCTAACACTGAGTGTCCCGGAAAAGCCAGTTTCAGTTCTGGACAAGCGCAAGAACTCAGAAGCTTCCAACGGGCCGTAATCTATCTTTCCCAATACAATATATGCAGAGATCTTTGATATATGATACAATAAAATAATTGGAAACAATTTCTCGTTCAAACGCTAAAAATAATTCGACCTACCATCATAGCGAATTCTCTTTCGGAAATATTAAGAAGTAATCGAAATTTTTCTAAACTTGGTTAAACTTTTCACAATCAACCATTTAGTTTTGGAAAAATGAGGGCTCAGTTCATCCATGATTAACTTTTAACTTCAATATTCTGCTCCCGGTGATTAAAAAATTGTTATAATAAATGGAATGATTTCCGTTATCAAATGAGATAACAATGGACCTACATTGTTATGAAGAACGTAACTGTTACGATTTTTTTTTAAATATAAAAGATGTCTCGGAAATGTTTTTTCACCATATTAAATACAATATTTTACCTTAGAAGAAATATCGAGTAGATCGTTTGTAATCAACTCATAATTTTCAGATAAAAAATAATTCGTGCACCAGATAAGTCTCTCTGAACGCAGGATTGAGCCTAACACTGAGTGTCCCGGAAAAGCAAGTACCAGTTCTCGAGGAAGCGCAAGAACTCAGAAGCTTCCCACGGGCCGTAATCAATCTTTCCCAAGACAACATATGCAGAGCTTTGATATATGATACAATAAAATAATTGGAAACATTTTTTTGTTCATACGCTGAAAATAATTCGACCTACCATCATAGCGAATTCTCTTTCGGAAATATTAAGAAGTAATCGAAATTTTTCTAAACTTGGTTAAACTTTTCACAATCAACCATTTAGTTTTGGAAAAATGAGGGCTCAGTTCATCCATGATTAACTTTTAACTTCAATATTCTGCTCCCGGTGATTAAAAAATTGTTATAATAAATGGAATGATTTCCGTTATCAAATGAGATAACAATGGACCTACATTGTTATGAAGAACGTAACTGTTACGATTTTTTTTTAAATATAAAAGATGTCTCGGAAATGTTTTTTCACCATATTAAATACAATATTTTACTTTAGAAGAAATATCGAGTAGATCGTTTGTAATCAACTCATAATTTTCAAATAAAAAATAATTCGCGCACCAGATATTTCTATCTGAACGCAGGATTGAGCCTAACACTTAGTGTCCCGGAAAAGCAAGTACCAGTTCTCGAGGAAGCGCAAGAACTCAGAAGCTTCCCACGGGCCGTAATCAATCTTTCCCAAGACAACATATGCAGAGCTTTGATATATGATACAATAAAATAATTGGAAACATTTTTTTGTTCATACGCTCAAAACAATTCGACGTACCATTATCGCACATTTTTGGGCACAGCCGTTTGGAAAAAATTTAAAATTAGTCCCGTTATCTTCAAAATTTGGTTAAACTTTTTATAGGAATGGGTAAAAACATATTCTTGACAATCTGCTGCTGATTATTGAAATTTTTTTACACTGATTATAATGATTTCCGTAATTAAATGAGATAGAAATTTGCTCACTTTGTTATGATAAGCATGACTTTTACGATTTGTTTTCAATTTGACTGATTTCCCGGAAATTGTTTTTTTAATTTAAGTGAATCTTCTATACGCGCGTTGTTTTAATGAAACACAATTTTTTACTGAAGAGTCATATCAGGTGAATCGTTTGTGATAAATTGATGAAGTGAAAATAATATATCATTTGTTTACGAGTGAATGCTATACTTGCGCTGTTTTAAGCTCAACACCGTGCGTCTTGTGAAGGCAATTATATTCGATGCAATGTCGAATTAAAAGCATTTTTTCGTTGGTTTATTCATCCGATTTTTTACAATTAAACACACTATCACAGCAAAGACATGGGCATCTCGATGGCTTTATCTATGTAGATGTTGTAGTTACTTAGTCTTAATTTTCACTATACACCAATTAGTATTGGATACACGAGTATTTATGTCATGAATATTTTACTTTTAACGTCAATAATCAAATGACAAAGGGTGTTGATTTCTTCGTCGTCGTTTTTGGTCGTCCTCTACCGCTGATTGAAAATTCGTTACAATAATTATA